AACCCTTATACCTTGCTTTAAAATCCTAAAGAAGGCTATTAAAATGCCAGCTGGGTGTCATCGCCCATTTAGAGGCTGCAGTAGGAGACTCTAGAGCTTGAAGCCAGCCTGGGCTACACATTAAGTTCCTGTCTTAAAAGAAATAAAATAGAAGCTGATGAGGGTGGTGTAGACCTTTAATTCCAGCAGCGGGGAGCAGAGGTAGGCAGATCCCTCAGTTTGAGGTCAGCCTGATGTACGGAGGGAGTGAGTCCCCGGACAGCCAAGGCTACACAGAGAAACCCTGTCTCAAACAAACAAACCAACCAAAAAACGAAAACAAAACTAAAAGTTAACGCACATTTAATCCCAGCACCTGGGAGACATAGAGGCGGGTAGATTTCTATAGCCAGCCTAGTCTACATAGCAAGTTCCAGTCCAGGGCCATATAGAGTGAGACCCTACCTAAAAGGCGCACGTACACACGTGCACACACGCGCGCGCGCGCGCACACACACACACACACACACACACACGAGATGTGGCATACTGTTTTATTTTGTTATTATGGAAAATTTCATGCAAAGTGAGAGTTAGACAGGACCACGAAGTCCCAGGCTCTCTTCATTCACTCCATCACTTTCACCCACCATCCGAAGTGCTTCGTTGACTTGAAACAGGTGCTGGCCGCCTCCCTGGTTCACTCAGTCTGCGGGCGCTACATCATCAAGGAAAGGGCCCTCAGATTAGCATCAGTGCCACGACAGAGCACGCACAGAGCGGCAGGGGGCAAAGCATTCTCTGATGAAGCAAAAGCAAGATCAAAGCCTGAGACAGCACAGAGAAGACTGTGTTGAACTTGCTGGGGATCCGGACCTGATAAGGGGGGGGGGGCTCCAAAACAAGCATCAGGGGCGGAGCTTTGACTGAGGCCAGGTATGGTGAAGCAGCCCTGTCATCAGGGCATCTGGGAAACTGAGGCAGGGGAACTGCAGAAGTGCGTAAAAACTAGCGTGGAGCTAGAGTGAGTTCCAGGCCATCGTGGGCTACACATTGGTTTTAGGTTGCAAGTAATAAAAATCAGTTCTTTCAAGCACAGTTCAGGGTTGCTGTGATGGCCACGTTACAGCTCTTTGAAATCACCTGCGGGAGTTGGGCTTGCTGCCACGTGCCTGTAATCTCAGCACTCAAGAGGCAGTGACCCAGGGAGTTAGAGGCTAGCCTGAGCTACATGAGTCCCTGCCTCAAAAAAAAAAAAAAAAAGCAAACACTTAGAGATTTTCTCCTCTCCGATTGTGTCCCATGCAAAAGGAGCTGCCTTCGATTCCTTTAAGAATGCAGCCACCCTTTTGCCTCTGGGCATTTTTTGTATTAGTTATTTCCTCTGCCAAGAGACTCCCATTCTAGTTGGCTCCAGTTCAGGCTTGGCTTAACAAAAGGCCCTGGAAGTCCTTGCAGATCTCCGGTCTGGGGCAGGCCTTTCCGGCACCCACAGCCTCCTACTCGCCACCTCTTCCAGGTGAGCAGTTCTAGGTATTAGCCTTAGCAAACGTGGTTCGTCTTCCTTAGACTGGGGTGTGTGTGTGTACCAGGTCGCTGGAAACGCAGAAACCACGTGCCAGCCTAATTCACCAGAGGGCAACAAAGACTAATTCTGGGTGGCAGGGGCGTGAACCGGGTCCTAGAACCTTCTGTCCTTTTCAGGACGAGGAAGCCAGGCCACCGGGTGCAAGGCTGCAGTCTCCACACGCATGCGCCCAGCTCAGTTCCCCCCTCCCCATCCATATGCTAATCACTGCGCTGGGAAGGACAGCCTCTCCGGGGAATATGCAAATCACACCCTCCAGTGCGGGAGGCCTTCCTTTGTCCCGCGCTAGGATTATGCAAATGAGCGAGCCTCCAGCCCCGGGATCCGGGCCGAGCACTCAGCCCCCTCCCCAGGCATCCCCTGTTTATTAGGTGTGCTCGCCCCCTTCGCTTCGCGCACGGCCGTTCGGATCCTGAAGCTGCCCGGTGCTTGCTCTGCAGCCGCAGCCGCAGCCGCAGCCTGCGCGATTCCCCGAGCCCCTCTTCCCACCGCCGGCCAGGGAATGGTCCTGCTGGCCGCGCACGCGCCCTGAGCTCCGCTCGCCCCGCTCGCCCCGCTCGCCCCGCTCGCCCAGGCTGCCTGGACGCAGGCGCAGTGCCCGGGCTTGCAGCTGCCGCCGCCGAGCCCGAGCCGGGGCCGCCGGCGTCGGTGAGTGTCCGTGCTTGGGGTGCGCGGGGCACGCTGGGAAGTGGGCGATACGGCCCCGCTGCATGACGGGAGCCCGCGGCGGCTTGCCAGGGTAACCGGGCCCCAGAGCCCTTGGCTTCCCCCGGCACGCGCGCCTCGGACCCCACGCCAGCCCGCCTCTCCTCGCGGCATTGTGGGAGCCGGTGGCAGCCGTGCGCCAGGCGTCTGCGAAGGGAGGGCCCGGGCCCCCGAGGGGTCTTTTTTTTTTTTTTTTTTTTGCTCGCACACGCTTTCGGTGCTTGGCGATTTTTGATTTTTGGAAGGTGGTCGTTAAAGGCCCGAGGGAGGCACCGTGGGAAGTTGTCACGGGGCATTGTTTGGTGCCGGGGTTTGTCCGAGCCCTGGTCTTAACCTAGCATTGGGCAGAAAGGTACCCATTGTGTTCACTCGCACCGTGTTGGCTCAGTGTTGTGTGGGGTCCGGCTCACAGTATTGCCTTTGTGGGAGGTGGGGGAGACTGGCCTTGAACCCACAGTGTTGTGAAGGAAGGGTGACCTAGAATCTGCAATCCCCCCCAAGTGCTGAGTTTGTAGGGGTGCACCACCACGCCCGACTGCCTTTCATCTGTAGGGCTCAGGGCGGTTTCTTTCTTGCGCCTCTTCTATCTTGGAAGTCAGTCAACATGTTGGCATACAGGACTTGTGTACTGAGGGATGGTTCCACCTGATACCCGGAACATTCTGGAAGGAGTTTTGTGTAATGTGGGTTTGGAAAGGGATGGCTGTCCCCAGATAACCCCGAGGAAAGCCCTGACGATCTGTAGTGTGGTTGCCAAGTAGAATAACAGTTAAAGCCCGGTGTGGTGTCACAGGCCTATAAATTCCAGCACCCCGCGGTTGGGGCAAGAGAATCAGGAATTCTAGGTCAGTTCTGGCTACATAGTGAGACCCGATCTCAAAACGGAGGAGAACGAGTCTGGGTAGAGCTAGGTACTGCATGGAACATGTATATTAAATCTTTATCTAAAACAGAGACCAGCTGTTTTGGATTTTCCAGGCACAATGAAGAACTCCTGTATTAGAGGGGTCCTCCGTGATCGATAATCATGAGAGCTCTTCAGTACTGATTACTAGTCCTTGAAGTTCAGGTGTCTTAAGTCGCCCCTCTCTGCTGCCTGCTCCAGCTACATTCCCCCAACAGTGCACTTGACATCTCCCAACAGTGCACTTGACATCTCGGCTTTGAAAAGATAGTGTACTTTCTACCATTGTATCCCCAGTGCCTAACATACAAGCTTTGTCATATTCTTAGTGAGGCTGAGCCAGATGGAGTGGTGCATGTCTGTAATCCCTGCACCCGAGAGGCTGAGGTTGGAGGGTTGCAAGTTCAAGGCCAGCCTGGACTGGATAGCTTGTCTGGGGAGAGTGTAAGGGTACTGTGGTTGTTGGTCCTACACTGGCCCTGCAGGGCCCTCTCACAGGGCAGCAGGAGGAGGGAATAAGTGCTTTGGGTGAGTCGGGATTCATTAAGGCTGAGGAGAAGTGTAGAAATGTGTTTATAAGAGTGTGTTTGGCAAGGTGAAAATTAGTTCTCCGGGCCCACAAGGAGGAAGGAGAAAATTCCAGATGACAACTGAACTGCAGGATGTGCTAGGACCCTTCCCTCTCCCGTTATAAAGAGCCTGCATGTACCCCCCAGAAGTCTGGAGTGACTGGAGGGATGGGCAAGGTCTTCGACACCCCCCCAAATTCCATGAATCCTGTTTTTGTGCGTTTGTTTTGAGAATGGGGATTTCAAGGATGACCTTAAATTTGACTGCCAGAGTAAGGGCTGGGTTGCAGGTGTGGGCTGCCATGAGTCTGAGCCTACTGACATTCAAAGCATGGCTTTGAATGCTTTCAGCCACCAGTCTGGGGAGGTGACCTGCCATCTTGGGTTTTGGATCACCTGCTGGTGCTTTCCGTCCCTTCTTTCCTCTTCTGCTTCAGGGGAGCTGTTTCCGTGGGTGGTGTGCTGTGTGAACCGGTCAAGGCCTGGTGGCGGGCTTTCCAGAGAAGGAAACAGGCGAGAGAAGCTGGGTCCTGTTTGAAGCTACAGCTAGAAAAGGACAGATTTGGGTCTGAACGTAGGCAAGGCTGGCTTTCACAAGTTAATGTAGGTTGATGCCTTATACCCCTGGCACGGGGGGGTGCAGCTGTAATCCTGGGGCTTGGCGGGAAGATCTGGAATTCAAGGTCATTTGTGGCTAGCCCTGGGTACGCGGGGCTCCATTTCAAGTGAGGAGAAACTGAAGGGTGGGGAGGTGGGCTCAGTTAGTAGTGAGCTTGCCTGGCGTGCACCGGGCCCTAGATTTGGTCTCCAGCATTTGGGAAGTAGATCTGTCTGGGAGCATCAGAAGTTCAGGGTCAGCCTAGGATATTTGAGCTCCTGTCTCATTAAAACAAAACACTTCCAGGATAGTGTTTCCACTGTTCAATGTTTTCTGTGTCCTAAGTTAATGAGGTATCCTCCCTGGGCCCCTGGCCTCCCGACCACTCAACTGCTAAAGGGTTAATGCCTGGCACAGGTCTCTTCCTTTTACACTTAGTTTATGATTGGTGCCCATGCCAGTACCTACCTTTAAATAGTTAGGGATATCATCTCTCCCTACCCTACTGAATGAGAACCACAAAGCTTCGTTGCCCAGATATGGAGGTTGAGGCCTCCAGGAGGCAGGGTCCGCAGAGTCAGGGTTCTGTATGCAGTCAGGACAGCGCTGCCTCACCCCGAGCACTGAGCACACAGAGGTCTTGGAATGGGGACAAGGGTTATGTAAAAATTTATTGAGTCACCACAGGCCTTTTCTTTCCCCATGTCCAGCATCCCTCTCTACCTGCCAACATCCTGTGTTAGAAGAGCTTGTGGCTGGAGGTGTGACCGTGGGAGAGCTGGCCGGGGAGGGACCTTGCCCAGTGGCTGCTCTGCTCCCGTCTCTTGTCCCCTCCCCTGGCCATGACAGAGACCCGTGAGCCCGCTGAGACTGGAGGCTATGCCAGCTTGGAGGAGGATGATGAAGACCTTTCCCCAGGTGAGGCGGCCTTAGAATTCATGGTGTTGACAAAGCTGTCGTCCTGGGCTTGGGCTCCCTTGGGAGGCTGTGATGAGGGGTGAGCCCTTTCCTTGCTGTGGGCTCTCTTCAGAATGGAATTCCTGATCCCTGTGGGAGACGGCTTCCCCTGGGGGCTCTCGGGGGCTGCAGGTTGGTCGTGTTCTTGGTCCTGGGTGAAGGTTCTAGATTGGCTGTGTTCTCTGCCCCTGCTGTGGGTTCTAGAGTGGCTTCGAGAGCTCTCTTCGCTGCTGGCTCTGGATCGGCCATGGCGGCTCTCCTTGAGGAAGATCTTGGATTGGCTCCGGTCTCTCTTCTTAATGGAGGCTTTAGACCGGCTGCGGGCTGTGTCTGTGCTTGGGGTTCTAGACTTACTGCGCCCACTGCCAGCGCTAGGCCTCCTAGACCGCCTGTGCCCCTTCTTCCTGGTGGCTCTTGCTCGGCTGTGTTCTCTCTCTCTGGTGATTTCTTCCTCACTGGACGTCCTAGACCACATTTGGCTTCTTTCTCTCCTTCCTTGAGCTGTCCATGGGCTGTGACTTTTCTCCCGGCTGTGGGTTCTACGCTGACTGTGTTTCACCTGGGTGGGTGTACCCCTCCGCGTACGGCTCCTTGCCCTACTACGATTTCTCTTCCAGCTGTAACCTCTCACCCGGCTCTGGGTCCTAGAGCGGCTGTGACTTCGGGTCCTGCTGGGGGTCCTAGAGCGGCTGTTATTTCTTCGGATCCTGCTGGGGGTTCTAGAGCGGCTATAACTTCTTGATCTTCTGGGGGTCCTAGAGCGGCTGTGACTTTTTGACCTTCTGGGGGTCCTAGAGCGGCTGTGACTTCGGGTCCTGCTAAAGCTGTTGCCCTTCTTGTGACTCTTGGTCATGCCTGACATGTCAGTCAGATCAGTCATGGTGTGAGTATGTTCCCTGCTGGGGGGCATCACTTGGCTGTAGCTCCTGGCTCTCCTGGATGCCACGGGAGACTTGCTAGAGCTCTTCAAGGCTGTCCTACTTAGGCTGTGGCTCTTGGTCCTTGGAAGTCTAGAGCTGCTCCCTCGGTCTGAGGCTCCTGGCAGCTTGGGGCTCTTTTCCTGGCGCACGTTTCTAGGCTGGCTGGTGCTCCTTTCCTGGGTACTGGTTCTAGGTCGGCTGTAACTCTTGCCTCGGCTTTGTTTGCGGTGGGAAGTAGGGGTCCTTGCCTTCTTGGCCATACCTGGTTTGGCGGAATGGGTTCTCTTCCTGCTAGGAGTACTTCCTCTGCTTGGGGATGTCTTGGAACTGTGGATTCCCCTCCTGCCCGGAGTTCGCCCGCGGCTGTGTGTGCCTTTCTGCCGGTGTCGTCCCAAGATGCTGTTCTTGCCACCCTTCCTGCCCTTACTGGCCTTCCTGCCCTTGGCGTCAGCGCTCAGCCGATTGGGCGTTCTTGTCTTGCTGTGGCCTTGAGACCTGCTGCTGGGCCGGGTTGAAGGAGCTGTCTTGGTACCTGTTGATCTGGTAGACTTAGAACTGCTAGGGCTCATGACCAAGTTAGGGGACTTAGGATGCACTGAGGAACTGTTGGACACTGCTGCTTTGGTGGTCTTCAGGGAAGCTGGAGGTGTGAGAGCTGTGGTGGCCATGGAGGGCCCAGTGGCTGCCGGAGCCATGCCGGGCTTGGAGGATCTCTTCGATGGGGAATGCATGGCGAGTGCAAAGGGGCTTGAACTCCTGGAAGTCATGGTAAACATGCAAGATTTGGTAGCCAAGGACAACAACCAGATGGCTCATCACAAGCAACTTGGTGAGGTCATAGTGGACACTGAGGTCCCTGGAGGTTGAGGCCAGAGGGGAGAGAAGGTGGGGCCCTGGCACAAGTCCTGTTAGTAAATGGAATCACATCCGCTCAGACTCGGCAGGGCTGGAGATTGGAGCTGGCTTCGCCAAGGGCCTGCCTTGGGTAGTCTTCAGGCCTAGGTGATACTATTGCGGGGGTAGTGGGGAGCCCAGAGAGAGAGAGACTGACCACCTTGAGGGCCAGAGAGGCTTCATAGAGGAGGTGAGCCTCACAGAGGAGCTGGAGTTGCGGGTAGAGCAGAAAAGGGTCCTCACAGGGAGAAGCAGACGGGGAAGAGGAGGGGAGGGAGCTCAGAGCCCGGCTCATCATCAGTTACGACCCATTGTCCTCTGCTAGACTGAGGTGCGAACCCAAGGTCAGACATGGGGCTAGAAGGCCACAGCCTCTAGACAGTGATGGGGGCAGCAACAGCCAGGACCTGTGCTGGGTCCTGAAGCCTAAATAGGAGGGGCCAAGTGGACACAGTGTGGGGCAGTGTGCAGAGAGACACCTAGGTCTCAGGGTTATTGTAGAAGGCGAGAGGGTAGCAGGGACAGGGCAGGGACAGTGAGGCAGCCCTGAGACTGGGAGGGACCTGGGGCCACAGCCCTGGGACGCTCAGGGGACAGTGGGAGGCCAGCAGAACAGGGGACTGGCTACTGAGGAGGATGAGGTCTGGGGTGGCTCACCAAGGAGGGAGCTTTGCATCCACAGCAGAGGGGACCACTTTACAGAAGGCAGGATACATCCCACAAATACTCGTGCAGAGTGTGTAGACGTCAGGGCCAACTCGGGGACGAGAAGGGACATCGGTACAAGGGCTTGTCGTGCAGTCGATTGACTGCAAGAGAAAGTTAAGGCAGGGTGAGACTCGGGGACAAGAAGGGACATCGGTACAAGGGCTTGTGCAGTCGATTGACTGCAAGAGAAAGTTAAGGCAGGGTGAGGGACACGGGCAGTACTGGGCAGGCGTGCTATGAAATCGGGTGACCAGTGTGCTCAAAGACAGGCTGGAGCTTGACCTGCGGAAAGGGAAGCAAAGGCTCTTGGGTAGGTGCACACCTGTGGTATTGAGAAGCACGGGGCCCATGGTGACTGCTGGGGGCAGGTGATGAGGTCCAGAGCCATCCCATGTCGCGTGGTATGTGCACACGCACACGTGTGCGCACACACACACACACAGAATCTGTTGTCACTGTGCGGATGTGAACGAGGATAGAGACACCATCCCTGTGGTGTGGAGGAAGCAGGGGCCGAGGACGGAATGGATGCAGGAGGAGGTTGTTGCTGCAGTCCAGTGTGGCCGGGGCAGGCATCTTGACCATGGAGAGCCCAGCATGCGTGTGGCTCCAGACCAGCTGCCGTGTACTCATCACCACAGTTTTCTCATTTAAAAGCTTTGTCGCATTTTACTTATTATTGATTCCGTGAGGGTGGGTGTACTCTCATGATACCAGGAACGGAGGTCACAGGACAACTATTGGGGGTAGTTGGGGCCTCTTCCTCTACTGTGTGGGTCCTGGAAATCAAACTCAGGTTGCTGGACTTAGCAGGAAGTACCTTTACCACCAAGCCATCTTGCCAGCCTCTCTGGTCATGGTTTTAAACCCAAACTTGTCTATATGTACTTTATGTCCTATAATCACAGTAGCGTCTGTGCTTAAAATTGAGCATTTCAATTGACTTGTTTACTGAAATGGATATTACCTGTAATCCCAGCACTTAGAGGCAGAGGCAAGATGACTGACTTCAAAGCCGTCATGAAACACGTGAACATACGTTTATACCTATGCACATACATGTGTTCTGTCTTCTAGAAACAGCAAAAAAGAAAAGCCAGGTATAATGGTGCTTTTTGGGAGGTTGAGGCAGGAAGATCAGGAGTTCAAGGCCAACCCTCAGCTATATGAGAACCTGTCTCAGAACAAAATGGGCTGGGCATAGATCAGTAGCTGGGAGCATTAGTACAGGGTAAAAACCAAGCCTGGTGTCCACCTGAGGTGCCACTGCTGGACGGCACGTGCAGGGTGGTCTTGGGGTAGGCCTGTCAGATCAGTCAGATTGCTGAGCTCTGGGGCCAGGAAGAGACCGCATCTAAACAGAAACTAAGATGGCAGGTGATAAGGAAACGCCAGCGCTGTGTCTCTCTGGCATCTGGGTGGTCGGTGGCTGGGTGGCTGGCCCCGACTTCCTTCTCTTCTAGATGTCTCCTGTTTATCCTCTCTGCCTGCCAGCCCCGCCTCCCTCTCTCCTGCCTAGCTATTGGCCATTCAGCTCTTTATTAGACCAATCAGGTGTTTTAGGCAGGCAAAGTAACACAGCTTCACAGAGTTAAACAAATGCAACATAAAAGAATGCAACACATCTTTGCATCACTGAACAAATATTCCACGGCATAAATGATTTCTGTTGTTTTTGTTTTTCGAGACAGGGTTTCTCTGTGGCTTTGGAGCCTGTTCTGGAACTAGCTCTTGTAGACCAGGCTGGCCTCGAACTCACAGAGATCCGCCTGCCTCTGCCTCCTGAGTGCTAGGACTAAAGGCATGCGCCACCACCGCCCGGCAAAAGATCTTAAACTAATGTTCTATAACACACAAGTCTCTGCATGCACATGCACACATACACATATGGGGGAAAACCGTTTTCTTATTTTCATTCACTGCATTTTAATTTACTACTTAGCTGCCTGTTCTGATTGATGCTTGTCTCTCTGGAATGGTCCAGTGCAGGCCACTGCCATATTTAGCTCTCTGTGGTAGACACCGGAGGTGAGTGAGTCATACACACGTTTGACGCCTCGCTTTCCGCATTGGCCCAGGTGTTGCTGTAAGAGCTGGGTGAGCACACGCGTACTGTCTGCTGCCCACCCCACTGCTGATGCCCATCTGTCTTTTATTTTGAGAGAGTGCTTCATTGTCTCTAAGCCAGATGGCCTGGAGCTTGCCGTGATCCTCCTGCCTCAGTCTCCTTGAATACCAGCATTACAGATGACGGCTGACACTCATTTGCTAGACACATAGATACATTGCATCTGTGTTGTGCCCATACAGGGGCCTCGGGGGTGCAGCTGGACACAGCCCTGATGCCTCTCCTACCTGCCCCCACAGGCCCGGAGCATTCTTCTGACTCTGAATACACTCTTTCAGAGCCCGACTCTGAGGAGGAAGAGGAGGAGGAGGAGGAAGAGGAGACCACTGACGACCCCGAATATGACCCTGGCTATAAGGTGAAACAGCGCATAGGCGGCGGCAGGGGAGGCCCATCTCGCCGGGGCCCGCGAGCCGCTCAGCCTGCCGGCCCACCTGCACAGCCCTGCCAGCTCTGTGGCCGGTCACTGCTGGCGGAGGCCCCACCGGGTACCCCACCCTGCCGACTCTGCTGCCCTGCCACAGCAACCCATGAAGCCCCAGCCCCTGAAGGCAGGGCCCTTGGCGAGGAAGAGGAGGAGCCATCTCACACCTCGGAAAGCCGGCCTGCAGGACGGGACGCAGATGAAGATGAGGAGGAGGGGGGCACCTACCACTGTACGGAGTGCGAGGACTCCTTTGACAACCTTGGGGAGCTGCATGGTCACTTCATGCTGCATGCCCGGGGTGAGGTTTAGGCGGGGCCCCCAGGGAGTCGGTGGAGGGGTGGGTGGGGGCTGGGCGTCCCATCCACGTGTGAAGTCTTAGCAGTAGATGTGCAAAGGGCAGAATAAAAGCCAGATCCCGTGTGTGCTGAGCTGCATGTGTGTGACTGATGGTGCTGAGTGCCGTCCACCCCAGCCCCCATCTCTGTCTCCATCTCCTGAGTCTGTGGTCACCGGCATGCGCCACTGACTGTGGGGCCAGGGACTGGACCCCCGGCTTTGAGCATGTCAGCCAGGCACATCCCAGCCTTTTTTGTTTGCCTTCACTTTTCTTTGGGACAAGGTTCTGTGGCTTTGAACTTGTGTCTCTCTTCCTTAGCCCAAATGCTAGCCTCGCAGGCACAAAGCCACCATGCTTAGCTAGGAGTCCTGGGGTTCAGGCCAGTCCTGAAGCTTGAAACCGCCCTATGATCCATCCTTGCTGGGTGTCCTGCCTGGCTTATTGGTACAGGACAGAGTCTGCAAGAGGTGCCTGCCCCTGGCATAGGCCACTCCCCACAGTGTCCCTGCTGAGAAGTCATTTGCATGGCTGCAGCCAGCTGCAAAAAAGCCTGGGAAAGGCTAGCTAGCCAAGCCCCTCGGAGCGGGTGGGGGGGGCGTAAGGGGGGTAAGATGGCCATGAGTGTTCTGCCATCACGTCACTGACCCTTCTCCAGAGAGGACCACCATGATAGCCAGCTCTCCCTATGTTGCCTCAGTGTGCAGTGCCTGGCCAAGGGCCTTACCTATCTGGAGTCAGAGAATTCAGGAATTCATACTCAAGTAGAATTGTGGTGTGATCCCAGCCACACTGGCATGGCCCTTGATTTACATGACCAACCTCTTCAAGAACCAGATCTCTAACAAATAGTTTTGAGTACCTCCTGTGTGCCCAGTGATGCAAATGCACGGGGAGATTTATGTGTGGGTACTGCCCAAGGAGGCCAGAAGAGGGTGTTGACTCCCAGGAATGCGGGCCCTGTGAGCGAGCTAGCCGTAGAGCTGGCATGGGGCCTGTGGGGTGGACACTGAAGAGAAGTAAAAAGCTGCCTCCTGTGTTAGGTAAATGCTGTGAAGAAGCAAGAGAAGGGTAACTGTTGGAGAGAGGCACCTTAGTCACTTGTCCAAGACAGCAGAGAGAGCATTTGGCTGGGGGCTGGCTTACAGCTAGTTAGGTCTCGTCATTATCGCGGGGCGGGGCGCTGCAGCGATGGTTAAAAGCTGCTCCCGATCCTACATTGATACCGTGCCTGACATCCCATGCCCCTGACACACTTCCTCCAACAAGGCCACACCTCCTAACCCTTTCAGAGTGCCTCTCCCTGGGGACAAGCGGTCAGGCACAGGAGCCTGTGGGTCCCCATTTAAAAGACCAGAGAGAGCTGTAGCCTTCAGTCTAACCCTGCCTGGGAAGGAGGCAGTCATGCATGGACTGACATGTTCTAGGCGGACAAGGCAGGCGCCCACCCGGGCCGTAAAGAAGGCCAGAATGGCTGTCGGGGCCCAAATTGAGGACAGCAGAGGGACCACTTGTCACTTGTCACAGCCTTCTCAAAATTGTGTATCCTGATGCCATGCATGGTGATTCGGGCTCAGAACCCCAAACCCTGGAGGGCGTGACAGGTTGTTGAGAGAGTTCAAGGCCAGCCTGGGCTTAGAGAGTCATGTCCCTGTCTCAAAAAGCAGTACACACACACACACACACACACACACACACCCCAAGACAGAATTGAGGCCAGGCTCCTGCTTTGAGGTAGGAGATACTAATTGGTAGAAGCTTGGCACCAAAGCTACTTTCAAAATAGGAGGCTGATTATAATGATAGCTCCCATTCACCAAGTGTTCACTGCTGCCAAGCCCCACTCTGAGGCGCTTTACATGTGTTAGCTTCTAGAAGCTTGGCAGCTAGAAGCCTCTAGGAATAGGACCTGAATGACATTGAGAAGGCCAAGTCCACAGTGCACCAGGCCTGGCTCAGTGCTGCGTGTGGAGAAGATCATGCACGGGAGCGGACATTGATAGTTTGTTGTGTTGAGACAAGGTCCTGTGTGTCCAGGCTAGCCTCAAACAGCTCCATAGTGTTTTGCTGCCTTCCGCCTCTTGTTTTGTGAGGTTCTAGGGATGGGCCCAAGGCCTCACACGTGTTGAACAAGCACTCCCAGAGGCCATGCCCCGGCCTGAGGGTTGTGCCATGATGGACAGACTGGAAGCGCGTTTTTTAGACAGACTGAAAAGTGTGGAGCCAGGTGTGGTGACACATTCCTGTAATCCCAGCACTCTGGAGGCTGAGGTAGGAGTTCAAGGCCAACCTGGGCTACAGAGTCAGACTGTTTGAAGGTGAGTGCTTCCTCCCTCGGCCAGGGTTGCCCGAGGGAGTGCTGTGGGAGGTCTGAGGTAGGGGCCTGCTTGGGATGTTTGAGAGGGAGTGGAGGGGTAAGAGGAGACCTGGTGGCGGCAGGGGACTGCAAGGAGCAGAGGGCCACACAGGTTTCGGTACCAGGAATTGAACCAGGGCCCCTGTGCATGATCAAGTGTTTTACCGCCTCGAGTGCCACAGTGGCTCTTGTACAAACAGGTGCCGGAGTTGAAGTGTTGCTGGAGAGGCGGGCTACCCCAGCCCCCCCTCTGCTCACACCCCTCTCCTATTCTGGCCACACCTCAAGCTCAGAACTGAAACAAGCCTGGCAGTTTGCAAACAGCCTTAGTATCACTGAGCACCTTGGAAGGCTGGCCTCCAACCAAAGCTCTGAATCAGCCATGGCAGTCGAGGGTTCATGCTGACCCCGCATCCTACACACTGTCTTACTGGGTGGGGGTGAGGTACTGAGGGTTGGAGACACAGTATTTCTTATCGTTAGGAGCTTGAATCGAAATATATGGAAAATTCCCTCCAAAACTACAACTCCAGACCCTGAGGAGTGCTGCAGAGAAACTAGGGTAAGGGGCAAACCAGGGCAAATCCCCCAGCTGAGCAAGCTGGGACTTCTCTTGGGAGGTGTGAAGGGTCGAGAGCTGAGTAGCGTTGAGGCCTTTGCAGAGACCTGTGGTAACAACTGCACAGGGAACGGGAGTAAAGGTCCTCGGGCAGAAGCCAGGCGTGTGGGGCTAGAAAATAGCCATTGCACGATGGGAGGGAGGTGATAGGAGTTTTCAGATGCTGTATGCAGGCGCCATGGGACTGGTAGCGTGTCCGTAACAGAGTAGAAGTGGGTGTGGTAGGAAGGGAGGCAGCCAGGAGTCTAGCTGCATGAGAATTTGCCAGAACGCAGAGTGCACAGCTCACCGCTATTGTGACAACTCGGCTGGCCAGAGACCACAGAAGTCACTCCAACCCATCTTACGCCCCTTTGTCACTCAGGTGGCTACAGCTCATCTATGAAGTCTGGGCTGTAGACATAAACTTGGAGGCCACCATTGTTGCCATTCAGTCTTGGCACCCTTGACATCTGAGGGGAGAGAGACACGTACCTGATCAGGCCGCCATCTTGGGAGAGCACATGAGGTTTAACCTACCCGTTTGGGGTTAAGGATGCAGATGTGTGCCCTTGGGGGAACTCCTGGAGCAGAATTGGGGCTTCCACCAGGTACCACGGGAAGGCCTCACTTGTGTGGACTGGCATCTCGGAGGAAAATGTGTTGGTCAAATCACTCCAGGTCCATTTCCCATTCACCGCCCCAGAGAAAGCTCTAGGCTAACCCTGACACATCCCACACACCAGGCCGGGTGTAAGGAGGTGAAGCCAGGGGCTGGACAAGAGCCTGGCCGGCACTTGCTGGAAAAGGTCAAGTGATGCAGGTCCTCAGGCCTCTGAGGCAGCTTCTCCACCTTCTAGTGTGAAGGCAGCCAGGCAGTAAAGAATTGAATGAGCCGCAGTGTGTGTGTGTGTGTGTGTGTGCGCGCACGCATTGCTTCCAAACTAAAAAACCACAAAACGAGTTGGAAATGCAGTTCTCCTGAGTGGGACAGGGGCCTAAGATAATGGCGGCTTAATTAAGACAGAAGTTTCTGTTTCTCTGGTACATAGTAGCAATGCTCTAAGAAGGTGACAGGGCCCAGGCTCATGCTATCTTGTTGCCTGGCCCTTCTTCCTTGCTTCTGACTTTATGGTGAAGATTGCTGGGTGACCACACCCACATCCCACATAGAAAGGGACAGCAAAGGTAAGTCTTTCCCAAACTTGGGGACTCTACCCGGGAATTTGTCACAGTGCCGCAGCTAGCTGCAAGAGAATCTGTGAAGTGTGTTTTTGTTTGACTCACTAAAAAATCGAGAGGCAGGGATAATTTCTACTAAATCCACTTGACCTGTGGCATTTCTGTTGTTGCTTGTGTTATTGTTTGTTTTTTTTTTTTAGACAGGGTTTCTCTGTGTCACAGACCAGGCTGGCCTCGAACTCAGAGACCTGCCTGCCTCTGCCTCCTGAGTGCTGGGATTCAAGGCGTGCGCCACCACTGAATGGCCACCTTTGGGCTTTTGAAACATTTCTTAGGGATAACACAGGCTTCCTGGGACTCATTCCCAGGGCAAGGATAACACTCACTGCTCTACCCCTAACGACAGTTTAAACTTCCTTGGGTCATTCAGGAGAGCCCAAACTGGGCCTCCACGGGAAATCTCAGTGTTGGCCAAAGAAAACTCAAAGCAGAAGGCATCTCTGTTTGGTTCCGAACTCCTCCTCCTGCCCCTGCCCTGCCCTGTGCTTTTCCCCCCCTCCCATATGACCTCCGGCAACTCCCACTCCAAAGTCAGGGCTCCCTCTTTAGATTATTAGCGTGCATGTTTGGTTTTTAGGCATCCCCTTCCTGTTGGTTCACTCATAGCACCTCATTTGTGGAAAGAAAGAAAGAAAAAATAAATAAATAAAAACCAGGGTGTAAATTACCTGGCAATGGGTAATTACCTGAGTCAGGGACCATGAACACTGCCCTCCCCCCCCCCCCCCGGGACCTCAGGGTCCAGTTCACTCCTACTTCCCCATCCCCAAAGGCCGGTGCAGGCCTGGAACCCAGCCAGCATTGCGGGCCAGTACCACTCCACTTCCCTGCCCCCTCCCAGGCACAGAGCCAGGGCAATCTCCTCCTGCAGCCCCTGGCATCCATCTGGGAAAACTAAAGGTGATTATAGACTCTGAAGCTATTTAACCGGGAGTGAGGGAGATAGGAGTAGTTTTCCTTCTCGGTTTCTCAACACATCTATCTTATCCGATGTCTCTGCTTCTGGAAAGACCCCATGTTCTCCAAAAACTGCAGATGTGACACTCGCCTTGTGCCGGCCTGGCAGGGTAATTAAATCCTTCCAGGAGACCCAAGACCCTGGCACGGGTGGACCCCCCCAGCTGTAGAGTCCCGTCATTGCAGAGGGGGCTCACACCTACTCAGCTCCCCTAAACATGCCCGCTGCCGTGTGGATGGGGCCCTGCTTTCTGGGCGAAGTTCTGACCACACCCAATCCAGGCAGAGAAGCAGGGATGGGGGCTGTGCGTGCACGCGTGCGTGCATGGTGTGTGTGTGTGTGTGCACGTGCGTGTGCGCATGTGTGTGTGTGTGTGTGTGTGTAGGGGAGTGGGGGATGGGCATCATGGACCCGGTGGGCGCCTGAGAAGTGGATTGGGTCTTGGTGTGTGAACACAGTGGGGAGGGTGATGGCTGGCCGGGCTGTGGCTGCACTGCTGGACAGACCATCAAGGCCTTGGAGGAGGGGAATGAAGAGGGACGCCTGCAGCTTATGGGCCGAAAAGTCTTCCCGGTGCTGCCGCGTCACATGATGCTCCTGGAACTTGGCATCAGCGGCGAAGGTGATGAGGGAGTGGGAACACTGTGGAACCCCTAGGTGGCCTGAGGGATATGGGGAGAGGAGAGGGGGAAGGCTGGAGAAATCTCCAAGCCCTCTCCTGAGCCTTGAAACCACGCCAGCAGCTACCAATGACCGCTCTATGCAGTGTGCATGCATGCGTGTGTGCATGCATGTGTGTGATCTGCTGCATGTGGAAAGGGTGCAGCCAGTATTAGAACCCAAAGTCTGCCTGTCCAGCAAAGCAGCGTGCACACTGATTAAGACGCTGCCTGAGGTGAATCTCCATTTTCCAGGCAAGGACTCGTTTTCATCATCCACAAACTGGGGTCTTGATCTTAGCAACGCCACACCACTGTAATGCTACAGTGTCGGCAATTACTGCTCTTGAGACAGTGACAAGCAGCTGGGAATTGACACTGCTAGGCCTCTGTCTAGGGAACAGATGCAATTTCACAGAACATCAGTTAGAGACAAGGCTACGGCAGGGTCGGACAAGAATGACTATCACCCAAGCCATGAGCGTGGCTGGCTAACACTAGTGACTGGCTCAGCTCTACTCCCTCTCTCCTGGCTCAGAATTACCAAGAAATACAACCATTGCCAGTTATGATGGCGCACGCCTTTAGTCCTAGCCCGCGGGAAGCAGAGGCAGGTGGACCTTTGGGTTCAAGGCCAGCCTGGTCTATAGGACAGTCAGGGATACACATTTGACTCCCAGGTGTCTGAGCTGCTTGTCACTGTGTCATGAGCAGTTAATTGCAGATGCTGTATCAGAAAAACAGAACCAAGGTGGGGGGACCCAATCATGGGTGCCTCTGCTTTCTGGCAACTTCCAATCCTCAGCAATACCATTCTTTGAACTCTTCCTAAAACCACACACACAAGCCCAATCCTATAACCACTTCCACACACATTTTTTTTTGAGACAGGGCTTCTCTGTGTAGCCCTGGTTGTGCTGAAACTCACACTGTAGCCTCCTGAGTGCTGGGATTAAAGGTTTGCACCACCACCTGGCCCTTTAATACTCTTCCAGACTAGAAACTCCACATAAAGGACTAAGGGTGTGGGTCAGTGGTAGAGCCCCTGCCTAGAATCCCCCAGTGAGGGGCTGGGGTGTGGCTCAGTAGGAGAGCACCCGCATAACCTGCACAAGTCCCTGAATTTGGTTATTTTTATATTTTTTATTTTATTTTGGCAACATGCATGTATGTGCACCAAGTGCGTGCCTGGTGCCTGAAGAAGTCAGAAGACGGCATTGGGTCTCCTAGAACTGTAATTACATATGGTTGTGAGCCACTATTCAAGTCTTGAGAACCAAATCCAAGTCCTCCGCAAGAGCAACTGAATCTCTCCAGAGCCCTGAATTAATTTGGTCTGAGCACCACAAAACAACAGAGGGCTTTTGGTTTTGTTTTGTTTCTCAGGGCAGGGTTTTTCAGCCCGGCTGTCCTGAAACTCACTCTGTAGACCAGGCTGGCCTTGAGCTCACAGAGATCCGCCTGCCTCTGCCTCCTGAGTGCTGGGATGAAAGGCTTGCGCCACCACTGCCTGGCTGTGCACCCTTTCGAGGAAAAACTGTAGCCCAGTCACACTGAGAGTCTAGGGACGAGCTGGAGCAAGAACCTTGGGGACTCATTCCCAGGCACATTGTCACACCCCCAACCCAAGCCTCATCTGGAAGCCCCCATCCTTCTGAATGGCATCCTGCTTCTGCCTGAACCACAGCAGGGCACACTTCCAGCAGGGAGGGGCGTTGAGATACAGCGGTCCCTTTAGTTTCCGTCACGCCTGCACACCCCCATCTATCCAGCAAGTACTCAAAGAGGTTGCCTCCTGAGATGTCCAGACTCCTCCTTGGGAAGAGGTCTGCGGCCCCGTGGTCTCTTCAGAGTGGTAGCCCTCCATGTTGTGGTCAAGAAAAAAGAGTGGGTGAGGCTGCCCACGTGCCACCAGCCACACGTAAAACTTTTGGCACCCATTGGACTCTGACATCCTCACTACAAAACCTTCACCGGTCTCATGTGAGAGAGGCTCCTCGGGTTTGTGACATTTCGGTCTCCAAGCCCCTGTGACCTCTGATCGTCACCAAACCAAACACATCCCTGAGAAGGTGGAAGCCTTGATCGTTCACAGCAGCCTCGTCCTCGTTCCTCACGTGTGTCCAGACAAGTTAGTGGTTCTCACTCTTAGCCCGCCCCTTCCTGGGAGACATCGTTCTCTGACATCTGATTGCTGCCTCACCCACAGCCACCGCCGCCCACGCTCGCTTCTAGCTTCTCTGGATCGCGCTGCTCCCACCGATTGCCTTCTGCCCCTAGCTCGCGACGCCCTCTAGCTTTCTGCCTGGTGGCCGGAGGACTGTCCCTCAACTGCGCCTGACGGTCGATGGCCCCAGCGCTGCCTCCAGGGGATCTCCCTGCCTGTTGCACCACCCCTGTCCCGTGGCTCCAAGCCAGGTTCGAGGTTGCAGTCCGGCATTAGTACAGTCACGCCAGCCAGGTCCTGGGAATAGCAGGTGGAGAGGTCCTTCCCCGTACTGGGATGCGTGATGATGACGTCCGCCGTGCTTTCCGTACACCTCGAGGCTGCTCCTTGTTCTCTTTGCCGTACAAGAAAGCCCAAACTTCTTACTGCGCAGGCGTTTTGGTTGCTGGTCTTGGTGGGGCTCCGCCAGTAAAGCTTTCTGCGCACGCGCCTGGGCTACATTGTTCCTGTGCCCAAACAGCCTTAGCTCGGAAGAGACAGCGTCAGGGTGTTGACTGCTGCCCAGAACTTTGTCTCTCCGCGGCGGCGCTCCAAGACGCGCCGGGTCCTGGGAGGAATGACGTCAGGATAGTCCCACGCGAAGGCGTCCGGATGCCTTTGGATCCTGACGCTCCGACCCCTTCGGCCTGCACCAGCTCGCCCTAAGGGGCGGGGCTCCCGCTGCTATCCCGGCGCGTCTAAACTTTGCTCGGTTGGTGATTTGGAACGGGGAGAGGGAGGGCCACCCTCGAGTCCCCAAGAGATTGGCAGCCAGATTTCTGAGTTTGTGACACAGAAATGCGTTCGTGTGGAGAATGAACAGACGCCAGGCTCTCCAGGGAATAGGCCCTTACAGGAGAATGGAAGTAGAGGACAGGCTGGAGGAGGGAAGTCTGGATCTACACTGGGGCAGCTAGGCAAAGGGTGTTGCCGGGTGTAGTGGTGCACACCTTTAATCTCAGCGTTCTGGGAAGGCAGAGGCAAGAGGATCTCTGAGTAGGACTACACAGTGAGACTCTGCGTCTTAAAAAAGAAGCAAACAAAAATAAAGTCTCGCGTTTCCACTGACCCGTGTCTTTCCCCACCTCTTGCTTTCCAGCAATGCCTCTGCCGCAGGGTGACGTGACTGCCTTATTCCTAGGGCCTCCGGGCTCGGGAAAGTCCTCGTTGATCGCTGCATTATGCGACAAGAATGTGGACACGGTAGAGATTCCTGAAGGACGGCCGGATTCTGGAGTCCCCAGTCTGAGAGCTGCGGCCCCAGGCCTCTTCCTGGGCGAGCTGAGCTGCCCACCCGCAGCCCCAGGGCCTTGGGCGGCCGAGGCCAACTTGCTGGTATTGGTGCTACCAGGATCTGAGGGGACCGAGGAGCCCTTGACCCCAGCTCTGGGAGAGGCAGCGCGGGCCGCCCTGGCCCGAGGGACTCCGCTGCTGGCCGTGCGGAATCTGCGTCCTGGAGATTCCCAGAATGCAGCTCAGGCCCGGGAACAGACTGCGGCCCTGCTGGACCGTGCTGAGTTAGGAGCTGCGCCTCTCTTTGTGCTGCCGGCCGATTGCGGCAGCAGTGACTGCTGCGAGGAGCTAGAGCGCCTGCAGGTGGCGCTGCGATCCCAGGCGGAGGCGCTGCAAAGGTGAGGGGAAGATTCAGGCTGGGTGGGGTCCTCGGATACCTTTAGGCTATACTGCCTAGACCCAGCTCAGCTGCCACGGCCTTTAAGGTTCTCGAGCCATGTTCCTAGAGAGTTAAAGGCAAGACTTTGTTGGCTGTCTATTCTTGCCTGCCCTGCTGATTTGCCTGGATATCCCCCCACCCCACCCCCACCCACGAGCACAGAGTTTGAGATCAAGGTGGTCCCACCATAAACAAGTGCTATTTTCTTTCTTTCTTTTTTTTCCCATTTTCTGTTATTTAAAGCCTGCGCCCACCAAGGGTCAACTGGAGGGCCGGGCCACAAAAGTCTTAAATCTCGTGCAAGCTCTCTGACATCACAAGACCCCCCTCTGGTGAGAATTGAGAAGAGACCCAGACATACACAAACACTGTCAGCAGACGAAAAGCTGGACCCCGTTTCTCTGTGACATTTGCGTTCCCACGGAGTTTTCACCCAGAGACTCTCAAGCCACACCCCGTCCCCATTGCCCTAGCCCCAAACCCTCAAGGAGCTCTATTTCTGACTGGCCACCTCACTCTTCCATTCCCCCAACCCCCTCTCAGGTCACCCCACCCCAGCTGACAGCGGCCTCACTTTGTGGGTCAAGAAGGGGCTGCGTCTGTCCCAGAGTCCCTCCTGCCTCCCTCCACATGCTTCCTTTCCTAACATCCACCCTTAGGAAAAAAAGCCTTCGGGGACGCCATAAGCCAATCGCAGTTGCCATTATGCCCTCGCCTTCCTCTAAGCTTCACCCCCTGGAAGACTTCTCTTGCCCGGCTCATATTTGATATGCGGATACAGCCCTGGCCCTGAGGGCTGTGTCGGGAAGTCTTAACGGGGTCCTCATTTTCGGTTCTCCTCTGAGTAGCCCTAAGACCTCCCTTAACTTTATGGTCCCACCCCACCTCATTTTTTATTTGCTTTAGTTTCCTGAGATTCAGAAAGTTTTTTTTAATTATGACCAAGTCCTTGCACACCCAGCCCAGCTTTTCCTGCTTTTAATGCTTTTGACCTTCTCCCCTCCCTCCCCTACGCCCACCCACCCCCCCCCCCCGCCTTGCAGGCTTCTGCCTCCTGCCCAGGATGGCTTTGAGGTGCTGGGTGCAGCAGAGTTGGAAGCTGTGCGAGAGGCCTTCGAGACCGGTGGCCTGGAGGCGGCGCTGTCGTGGGTGCGCGCTGGCCTGGAGCGCCTGGGCAGCGCGCGACTGGATCTGGCGGTGGCCGGCACTGCCAGTGTAGGCCTTGTGCTGGACATGCTACTGGGACTGGATCCGGGTGACCCAGGTGCTGCGCCTGCCTTGGATCCCGCCGTGCCCACCCCTTATCCGGCTCCAGAGCGCCCCAACGTGGTGCTCTGGGCCGTTCCCCTGGGCCCCACGGCCATATCCCCTACCACCACCCCTCACCCGACCCACTACGATGCCCTGATCCTTGTCACTCCTGGGGCTCCCACCCAAGAGAACTGGGCCCAGGTCCGCTCATTGGTGTCACCAGATGCTCCCCTCGTCGGTGTGCGCACAGACGGCCAGGGCGAGGATCCCCCTGAGGCTCTGGAAGAAGAAAGGGCCGAGAAGCTCAAAAATGCAAGCGACGGGAACTCAGGGGATGCACGAAGCCAAGGAAAAGAAAACCCTGGCTCCGGGGACTCGGGGCCCACGGCTGCTCGGAGCCCGGAGGATGAGTCGTGGGAGGTGCTGGAAGAGGTGCCTGCACCGGTCTTCCCTCTGCGTCCTTGTGGTCTCCCGGGGCTGGGAAGCTGGCTGCAGCGTGCACTGCCCGCGGCTCAGGCTGGGGCGCTGCTATTGGCACTACCACCCGCAAGTGCCCGCGCGGCGCGGAGGAAGGCGGCGGCGCTGAGGGCAGGAGCGTGGAGGCCAGCCCTGCTGGCCAGCCTGGCGGCGGCGGCCGCCCCAGTACCAGGATTGGGCTGGGCTTGCGACGTGGCGCTTCTACGGGGACAGCTGGCTGAGTGGCGCCGAGCGCTGGGTCTCGAACCTGCAGCCGTGGCACGCCGTGAGCACGCCCTGGGCTTGGCTCCCGGAGTTCTGGCCGCGCGCACGCGCTTCCCGGGCCCGGTGACGCGCGCAGAGGTGGAGGCCAGATTGGGGTCCTGGGCCGGTGAGGGCACGGCGGGAGGCGCGGCGCTGGGCGCCCTCTCCTTCCTATGGCCGGCTGGTGGCGCAGCTGCGACCGGTGGGCTCGGTTACCGCGCTGCGCACGGTGTACTGCTGCAGGCCCTGGATGAGATGCTGGCTGACGCTGAGGCAGTGCTGGGACCCCCAGAGTCCAACCAGTGAGGGGTATGTGTGTGTGGGCGGGGGCGGGGATGGGGGGGGGAGGCTGGGGTATCTGATGGCTGTGTTTCTGGCCCCACAGCCTCTGAGATTAAGGGGTGGTACTCAAACCCAGGGACTTGAAGGAGACTGGTTGAAATTACAGTCACCCGATTTCCTGGGTTGTGAATGGGAGTGGGGTCTGAGCGCTTCAGATGCTAATGTCGCGAAAGGAGTTGGGGGCCTGGACTCCTAGAAATGGGAGCCTCTTGGCCTGCAGCTGCCACCTGATCCTAGATCTGGAAGCCTCGATTCCTGCCTGCCTGTGAGTGGATCTATGACCGTGGGCCTGGTGCTATTGGGAGTTGGAACCCTTGCAGTGCTGGGCCCCAAAGGGAAACAGAGATGTAAGTTGCCCCGGAAAGTGGACATTGGTTGTCAATTCCTGGGCGGTGGGAAAATCCCGTGAAGACCAGGGGCCTGCTGGAGACCCCCTGGTAGGATCGTACACCATTTGCTCCCCAAGGCTTTGGTGTAGAGAATATTGTCCCACAAAATTGAAAGGTCTAGGCATGGTGGTCTCCGGGTAGCCAGAGTGTGGGAATGGGGTCTTTGGAGTGTAGAAGAGTAGAAACCCACACTTAAGAAATACCTCCCATGAGCCCTGATGTGGTGGGATTCTGGCAACTGCCTCCCCGTGCTTTACTGGGAGGGGGCGTGACTACCCCCACTTTATAGGTGCTGGGTGATTCAGGGACTTTGGCATGTGTGCTCCTGTTTCTCTTTAGTTTATCACTGGTTTCTTCTGTCATAACGACCTTAACTCTTGGGCCTTGGAGTTCTTCGCCGCTGCTGTTTTGGAAGGGCAGGGCCCGCGGGGTGGGGGTGGGGGTTAGCAGTCTAGACTTCTCCATGTGGCTTCCTCTGGTTTCCCCAAGATGACTGCTGCTGGTCCACACAGGATGCTGATGCTGCCGTGGGCAGAGTTTCTCGCACGGTGGCTGGGCAGGCGCGTGATTGGGGGGGGGGGGAGTGGGGCAAAGAAGGCAGAGGCCACGGTGCTGTCAGTTTTGCGTAGGAGGGAAGCGCCAGTCACAAACAGAAAAGGAGGACGAGTGGATGGGCCCGCCAGGCTCAGAGATGCAGTCCAGAGTCTCATAACACACAAGGCACTGTGGCCTGGCCCCCACCTCCTCTCATTCCCAGCCCATCTCCAGCAAGCCTGGTTTGTCGTTCCGATGCTTGGGTCCCAACTCAGGACTTGTGGGGTACTCTGCCTCCCCATGTTTCTTTTCTGAGATTGGGTCCTCATCCATCAGGTCTCCCTGAAATGGCTCCTTCAGAAGAAGCCTCCTGATCACCCCAAGTAGCCTACGCTGACCCTGGCCACTTGATCATCCCTGCAAGTAAACATTACTACCCATGATGGCTTTATTTATTTATTCATTCAGCTTTCATTCACCCGTTGTTGGCTCTTGCCCCTTGCCTGTCCTTTCCTTGGGTGTACCCTAGCACTTTGAGCAGTGCCTGATACACGGTAGGTGCCTAGTATTCGTTAGTTTAGCTTATTGATCCCTGGCACGTGACCTGGAATTCAGGTGGTCAGCATCTTGTTACAGAAAGGGACGAGCTAGCGGGAGAGTAAACGGGGAGCAGGCACAGCCTGGTCACTAACAGCACTTGAGTGAGTGTCCTGTATTTCCAACTGCCAGATGAAAGGCTCAGAGCTATGAGAGCTTCCCAGGGCTGCCTAGTTGGTTGGGTTCTACCCCCCATCTAACCTTAAACTCTCAACCCCCCCACCCCCATGCGAGTCGAGGGCATGCCTGGTGCGGTGGCGCCTGGTGCTGCTGCACATGCATGCAACCCCAGCACTTGAGAGGTGGAGTTAGGAGACTCAGAAGTAGCTGTAATAGAGGAGTTACAGGCACACCTGAGCTACGTGCGTCCCATCTCACTGTTTAGACTGCACCTGAGCTACATGTGCCCCATCTCACTGATTAGTCTAGACTGCCCCCTACCGCTTCTCATTCCCTGCCCCAGGTCATCCAGCCTGATACTAGGTCCTTCTGATGCTTGAGCTGGCTAGCCTTGGCCCTGCCGAAGCCTCCCCAGTGCTTGGATTACAGTCCTAAACCCCAGCACCTGGCTCCCGTTTTAAAGCTCGTATAGAGATGCCTGGTGTTCTTTTCACGGAGAGCACGCCTCAGCTCCCGTGAAACACCTAATAGGAAATACTTGAATTCATAGGTGGAGAACCCGATTGTCTCAATTATGTTTCATAGGCTCCCCCCAATACTGGGGTTTGGACCTCCTGCCTCACATATTCAAGGCAAACATGCTATGCTGAAACTATGTCCCTAACCCTTCACTAAGGGTAGGGTTTCTGGGCAAGTGCTCTACCATTGAGCCAAACCCCCAGCCCCTCACTGGGGGATTCTGGGCAGGGGCTCCACCACGGAGCCACGCCCTAGCCTCCTTTTTATCTTTTATTCGGAGACAAGGTCTGACTACATTGCCTGGACTGGCCTCCTGAATAACTGAGATCACAGGCCTGTACCACCTCCTGCTTCATAGCTCTTCCAAACCTGCGATGGGTCAATGAATCAATTACAAATAAAATTCTCAATGGCAAGGTGAATCAATTACAAATAAAATTCTCAGTGGCCTTAGCCACATATAGGATACTTAGTAGCCACATTTCATTAGTGACCCCAGTGTGTGACAATGACAATACAGATATGAAGTGGCTCCAGGGTTACAGGAGAATTACCCACAAGATCTAGGGACAGAGGGTCCTACTGAGTTGGGGGAAGAGGATATTGGGCAAGTCACCGGCAAATGGCATCTAGCAAGGTGTATTGCCTTTCTTGTGCGACAAGATAGCGAGGGAAGCAACTTATGGAAGAAACTATGTTTGGCTCAGAGCGCATGGATACAATCCATTGTGATGGGGAAGTCACGGGAGCAGGAAGGCTAGGCAGGTGGTCACATTGTAGCCACATTTGGGAAGCCAAGAGAGAAGTATTGGTATTTAGGTTGCTTTCTCCTTTTTCTTCACCCTGGGACCACAGCCTGTTGAATAGTAGGTGATCTCTCCTCAGTTAACCTAATCTGGACACTCCGCCATAGCCATATCCGGAGAGTAAATGCAGATTGTCATTCGACGGTATTCGCCACCATAGCAGGCAGCTGAGAATTTGTTGTGTATACACTTGCACGCTAGCCTGGGAAACATGCTGGAACACAAACCCAGCTCCTCCTGAGAGGCTTTGCACACAAATGTTAGTCTCTAGCTCCTGGGCCCTACTTCCCGTGGCCGGGCAGTAAGACCACCAACTTGGTACCTTCTGTGACTCCTGGGAAATGCCCTGCTCTGGCTAGCACAACGGTCCTTTGCTTTATTTTATTTTATTGGTATTTAGATGTAGTACAGGCTTGCCTTGAACTCAGTATGTAGCCAGCAATGTCCTTGAAATCGATCGTCTGGCCTCCACCTCTCAAGTGCTGGGATCACAGGCATGTGCCACCATACCCAGCTCTGACCGTGTCTTACTTTGGTGCCTCCTGGCATCCCTGCTTTGTGTTTTGCTGCTTTCCCTTCTCGAGTCAGCAGGCTCATGCTCGATGCATTAGGAAAAGCAGCATGTCAAAGCCATTGCGTGTGCTGATCACCTCCACAGACTTACATGACTTGTGGATGGTTTGTCAATTTTTGTTGTTTTTGTTACTAGAGGGTCCAGGCTGTCTCAAACTCTTGAGCCCAGGGGTCCTCTTGCCATTCTCCTGTCCTGGGTTACAGGCAGGGATGAACTATGCCTTTTTTTCCCCCTAAGGTAGGGTGTCTTACTCTATAGTTCAGATTGGCCTCAAATTCATGCCTCAGCCTCTAAAGTTCTGGGATTACAGGTGTGAGCAACTACATAGGGTGCCTAAATCTTTTGTTAGGATTTTAGGCTTTTCTAGGGTGTAAGTAAAGCTTAGAGTGAAGTGCCCATCTCTGGACGCCTCCAAATAGAGAAGGCTTAGTCTCTCTTGTGGACAGGCCACCGGCCACTAGCAGGATACACGAATAAGCACCTCAGGTCTCAAAGAGCCTGGACGCAGAATTCTGGGAAACGTCAGCCCTCCAGGCTGGAATTGCAAGTGTGGGGTGACTCTTGGCCTTAGCCCTGTCACAAGAGCAGATTCCAAACATGGTGAGTGGATGAGATACCCTCTTCAACATAGGGGAGAGTCCCACACTGCTGACTCCTGAAGGAACTGTCTGTTGGAATGGGGGACAAATCTGATGATCTGGTCAACCTGTGTTGTGTTTCAGAAAAAAAAAAATAATAAAAGAGTAGAAATCCTGTTGTGTGTGTCTGTGTGTGTGTGTGCGGTTGTGTGTGTGGGGGGTGTGCTTTTGTCTACTGAGCCTTCTCCACACCCTTGAACTTGATTTTTTTTTTTTTTAAAGTCCTTCTTTTGGTTTTTTGAGACAAGGTTTCTCTGTGTAGCTCTGGTTGTCCTGGAACTCGCTCTGTAGACCAGGCTGGCCTCAGACTCAGAGATCCTCCTGCTTCTGCCTCCTGAGTGTTGGGATTAAAGATGAGGGCCACCACTGCCTGGTGAACTTGGTGATTTTTAAGAGCTTCCAAGTTTGTGATGACCAAGCAACTGAACTCTGGGACCAGCATGCGTGACCCATTGTTCCCAAGTTCATCCTCTCTCAGGACAAGAACTTGGGTGTGATCTCTCAGCCTCGCTCTGGATTTCAGCCAGTGGGACAACAGCAAACATGATGCAATCAGAGGCTTGAAAAGTGCTTATGAACTGGACTTCCTCTCTGGCTGTCCTTGGGCTCCCTGCCATCACTGTCACATTGAGAAGCCCAGGCTAAGGGCTGGGGATAAAGCTCAGAGCCCAGTGAGGCTCTGAGGTGTGGCTCAGTGGTAGAGCCCCTGCCTAGAATCCCCCAGTGAGGGGCTGGGGTGTGACTCAGTGGTAGAGCCCCTGCCTAGAATCCCCCAGTGAGGGGCTGGGGTGTGGCTCAGGGG